TGGGACTGATCATCCCAGTGTACCTGCACATAGAATGGCAACCAGGCCAAGCCATAAACCTGCCATGTCGGCAGTGCTGTGGATACACTAAGGAACTACAGGTCCTGGAAGTAGCAGCAGAAAGCGTCTATCACTTTACTTCCACCGTCTCCGTGCATTTACGTGTGCGGGGTTTATTGTTGTTCTTCGTGCTCGTCCCCGGTTGACCTATTGCTTGTTGTGGCAGATAGCCTTGTATGCCCTCTGCTGGTGGCGAACAAGCGAGAGGTTGGCCGCCGGCTTCCGAGGTAAGGAGTGCGAGCGTTCGCTTGAGAACGATGTGTGACGGGCCGTTTGTTGCCAACATGCCAAGGGACCTTTCGGTGCAAGACGATCCATGTTCTTCCGATTTGCTGATCCTGGCTTGGTGGATGTGAACCATGTCCCGGGCTTCAAAAATCGCAGACTGAGAGTGCCGTAATGTAAACAGCCCTCGCGAGTACTTGCGACTTATGAGGTCGTGGGTGCTCGAGGACTCTCCGAGTCGTGCTCCTAGCCCTATGGCTCTCAGAGCCACGGGCTGCAGACAGAGATTCCCGAGGCCAGCCGTCCTCCACCACTTTGCTGGCCGATCCAAAGATTGGGCTGCGATCCGAGCTTCGGAACGGCTTGTGACCGCTGTGGAGTTCCTGAGGACATGTGTTGCACAAAATGCGGGAAGTTTTCTGGAGGATTTCATGCTTGATACTTTCGGCATGGCGCGACGAAACACGGGAAATTGCCGGTCGCCGAGAGTTCGAGATGTGAGCACTGAACCATCTGCTGACACGGTTAGTTGTCACATGGCATTTTCACTTTTGGCGTTGCAAATCTGTGCTCAACAACTAGAGGTGAAAGGTCAAGTCAGGTCGAGGTTGGTCGACACTCAGGCAGACGAGTGTTCGATCATGTCGACGGACGAGCAACCATCCAGCGGCCGGGTCATGATACGTAAGAGTCAGTGCACGGTTCAATCAAGTTGACAGGTGTGTGGCCGGGGGGCCGCCGGTGAAAGAGTGCAGCTCCCAGATTTAGCACTTTAAGCCATAAACTGCTCGTTTTATGTTTGCCAAGGTGCGAGCCGCCGATGCTTGTGTGTTGATTCTCAATGTGCAAAACCGGGTAGATGAGCAGTCACCTAATTTCAACCGCGGCGGCTTGGTTGCTCCAGTGATGTACATGCGCGTGAATGAGACCAAGCTACATTTACATTGTGTTTCTGAGAAAGATGCCTGATCCAATGGTATCTAAACGCTGCAGCAGGCGTTTCAGGATAAACGCTTTTTCGGCTTACAGCCCGGGATAGCGGGGAGCAGCATGTGCAAGCAGTTCAAGAAGGTATACAGCTGGCACCGCGTAGTGTGGTTGCCTAGCAAGCTTGGCCCTCGCATTCAGAGTTGTGATTGCTTCTCTTCTCTGCAGATGGTCGAGTTGTCCCCACCTTACTTTGCAGCCAACTCCTCGAACGTCTTGCGAGTACAACTTCGTGTGGATCCACCACTGCGCTCCCCATCAAAGCGGAAGCTGCCCCCGACAATACCCACCGTATCTCGACCGTCTCGACCTCGACAAGGCAGGACCAGCAAGATCTCGAAAACGTATTTCGTGGGCATCTTTGCACCGCCTCGTTCCAAGAGCAAGAGCTCGTCAAAAGAAGCTTCACAGGAGCTGCAATCACCATTCGTGCATGAGCAGACGAAAGCTGAGCAACGGATTTGTTTCCGGGAGGGCCGTGCGAACCGCTTCCTCTTCGACCGAGCCTTCCCTGCCTTGACCAACGAGGCCATCCTGCCCGGCTGGCAAAGCGAAAAAGAGGATGGCCCAACCTTGGTGAAGCCCACACTTTCTTCGCTCCGACGAAAGCGCACCATGGATCTCGACCGTCTCGATCGTGACAGCGAGAGCAGCCCAAAAAGCCTTGCGCCCTGGAAGCCGGCAGACAACCCCCGCAGGATTGACCATCCCGGGAATGTGGCGTTGTCTAGAGTCAGAGCACAAAGCGCTGGAGAGACGAAGCCGCATCGTATAAACCGACGAAAGACGCTGACGGCACAGCAACTGGAAACATTCGAGACGCGTGCTGCCGGTCGGGAACGTGCTGAGAGGCTGCTGGAACGCATTCGCAATCGGAACACTGCTCAGCTCTCGCGAGTTAGCGTCCAGGAAAGGATCCGAGCAGAAGCTCGGCGAGCCGGTCGAGCCGGCCGAGCGCGAGCTGGCCGAGCCAGGCAGGAAAGCTCCGAAGCCCCGAGCAGCCCGGGGAGCCCTGGAAGCCCTGGGAGCCCTGGGAGTCCACGGAGTCTCGACATGACGCCAGGCTAGAGACCGGGCCGTTTCACTGTAGGGTAGGCGTAGGCCGCGGAAGCATGTCAGACTGGCAAAGCCAAAGCCATGCGGCCATGCGAGCATTATTTTAGGCGGAAGAATGCTGGGATGCGCCCGCATTGCGTCTGATTCACATGGCGGGGAGCCCTCGATCAGCGCTCGCGGCCGCTCCCTTGGGCCAGCTTGGCTCAAGCTGTGCGAATTTCCCCCTGCAGTGAGCCGCTTGTGCTTCATCGCCCATCGCGTAATTGAGAAGCCCAGTGCATGCATAATGTCAGCGAAAGCACTTGTGTAGACTAAGTGCGTGCTATGACCAGCAGCTTGCTCTGATTTGAGGCCAAGAGCTTGTGTGGTTCGGAAAGTGTCTTTGCCAATGGCTGTTCTGAGAGCAGCTGGTTTCCACAGACTGTCGACGCAAGCGTTTTCTGCCGTGAATCAGATGCTGCAGATTCAGGCTCTAGATCTCCGCATCAGCTTCTCAGAGACATGCGCCCACACTGTGCCCAGAGCAGCGGCGTGGCGGATGATATGTATCAGTAATCCATCGGCATCATCGTATGTTGCTAGAACAGCACAGCAGTGAATGACTTGAACCACAGAAGGCGTGCAGATTGCTCACACTCCTCCTTTCTTGTGCCCATGAAAGGTAAAGCATTTCGTGAAGCGTTTAGCACGCGACGCTATGTCGGCATTGCGCTAGCCGGACCAGGCCTCCTGTGATGAGCTGCCGCAGACTTTGCGACGTGGGATGAGGTAAACCCACGGGACAGAACGGGGGTAAAACGGACTTCCGTGCTTCTAAGATCTTCTAAGGATAGGATCGGGTAGAAGCCCAGACATCGCTTTCTGTCCTACAATGTTGCGTGGTTTGCTGGTGTGCTGGTGGCGATGCACGAGTGGAGCATCTGCAGGCTGCGATGGGCGCGGGCTTTGTGCAAGCCTCGAAAGCGTGCGGAGTTCTTGAAAGTTCTTGTGTCCCAGCCTGTTCGTGGCATGGACGACTGGTTCTAGTGCCATAAGGTTAGAGCCTTGCAGTCTGTCGTGCCTAGTATAGCGCCAGGCTCGAGAGTCAAACACTTGAGGTTTGGGATGCTACCATCTGCTGTCTGTCACTCTTCGACAGGCAGTTCCTGGGCTCAACGTGATATTGGCCCTACTCTACGGCGATTCTTTGGAGCCTACTACAATGGTCACTCGGATGAATTGTGGAGCTCGTACAGACAAGTCACTGCTGCAAGCAGCTGCGTAAGCTGAGGTGATGTCTGGGCAGTGTACAGGCCGTTGGATGAGAAAGCGGCTGTAGGACAGTGCGAGTCCCTTTCCTTCGAAGGCGATACAAAAATATTGACGTGGACAATTCCGGATGGATCAGCTATGACGAGCTCGGTGAGAAACGAGCTTGAGAAGGGAGCTATTTGTGTTTTCGTTGGCACACATCATGACCCTGGAGGTATATCTGGTGCTCCCTAAGGTTCGCTAAGGTTCCAAGCCCTCCCCTTACAACCCGATCCCGTCCTGCAGTTGTTCGGATGTGGTGCGAGTTCGGCGAGAATGCTGTGCAAACCCCGCTGCAGCGGCACCAGTGTACGGCCTGTCTGTGCATGGCGAATGTTCTTTGCGAACTTAAGGATCTTGTTCCTGCCAGAGTTCAACCTACTTTTTATCTTTGATGCATTCAGCCAGCAGAATGCCACCAGAATGCAATATCTGCTTTCGGCTCAATGGGAGCTTACCGGAGCTGGCGACCCAAGGCCCTGATTGACAGCCGCGAGCTGCTAGTAATGGTCTGCGCCTGGTCTTTTTATTTGTGCGGCATGATGAAAGTCACAGCCGGTCTGGGATAAGTGCAACAGTGTGTGCGGCTTTGGATAGGGCAGCAAGCGAGATGCGCTCAAGAATGGAGGATGATATCGACAGAGCTTCTCCGAAAACAGAAATTGTCAGGCCTGTTCAGCTCCTCCAAGCTTTCCGAGAAATGTGGCGAGCCTTTCTTGCACGTCTGGGGTTGCGGAGTTTTCTTTGGGCACGCATTAGACTGATTCGGACCAAGGTGTTCCTGACTCTGTTCGATAGCTCGCACAGTGGAACATGCACCGCTGCAGAGGTAGCGAGCTTCGTGCCTGGGCGTGTGCCAGGGAACAGTTTTCTTTGTCTTGCGTTCTCAGTCGCTCCCCAAAGCTGGCCGCTGCTGCCTTTGGCACATAACCAAATCCCAATCACAGAGAATTCGCGTGGCCGCGCCACACTCAGGCAACCTTGGCTATGCAAGTTCTGGGTCGCTGCACGGGTGCGTGCGTGCGAGGAAAGGACATTGCATCTGATACTTGGTCTAAATAAAGTACAGCAGTGCTCGTCGCACACGTCGTAGAGACGCAGGAACCTCGAAGTTCTCTTGTATTGGCAGTTTTGCCAGATACGAAGTGAGAGTCAGAGCTTCAGGTTCAGATATGCACGGAGGTGGCAGCTTGAAATGAGGTGATGCAAGAGGAGTTGTCTGAAGTTCTACCACAGTACCGCGAAGCTGAAAATCGTCTCGGCATGGAGGCCTGATTAGCCCACCTCGTTCGTCTCGGATAGGATAGGTACATATAATTTTGCCGCAGGCAACCTTCAAAGAAGAACGCATCTTCGGCCAAGACGAGATAGATGAGATTTGTTCGACATTCAGGCCCAGGATTGTTGTGTTGATGACGATAGCGATGATGCTGTTTTGTCCTTACAGCAGCAACAACAACAATCACAACTGCAATGACAACAGCAGCAGCAGCAGCAGCAGCATCATCATCATCAACACCGACAACAGCAACGGCAACGGCAACGCAAAGAGCAACAGCAATTTGCGATTGGACGCTGTGCGAGCGGACTCCACACTTAGCGGGCAAATTACCGTGCTGGCACTCTCTCAGTGAAACCGGTGTGATCTGTTCAAGACTGCATGACCTACAAAGAGCTAAGGAGCTAACGAGCTTGTGATCGATCCACGTTATGCTGCGCCGTGCAGTTTCCGCCGACAAGCACATGAGGCCTGTTGACTCATCTCCACCGCGCATTGTTGCCTGCGACGGCTGCCTCGTATCCCTGGGGACCGTCAAGCACATGAGAGAGCACCCAGGCCCTCCACATAACAGGACCACGATCAGCTCGGCGCGAAGTGAGTACCTGAGGTGGCAGTGGCTGTGACAGTGTGCCGATACTCACGGAAAGTCAGGGCAGCATATGGTGCTGTTGCACGACAGCTTGCGGCTGTGCACGCATTTTGGCTGCCGAGCGAGGTCTCAGCTCGTGCGCTGAGGCACTGGTCAAAAAGTCGTGCTCCTAGTGGCTGAAGAGATTGGCCGAGCCACCTGAGCAAACATCCAAAAAGTAGTTTAGCCCGAGGCCCCTGACTACAGCTACCAGTCGCGGCTGTTCCACCTCCATGAGCTGGAGGAAGAGGCTCCCCAGTCGGAAGTTTGCCACCATGAGCGGTCATCCCACTGGCGACTAGGGCGGCTGCCTTTTGACGCTTGTCATAAATGGGCCCCGCTTCTTCAGATTGCCTCTTGTCTGGGCGAAGCCACTTCTGCTTGGCTGGCGTGTCGCCCAACTTGTGGTCAATGCGAAGTTTGCGGACCGCCTTGCCGTCCTTCGGCATGTAGATGATGATGCGATTGATCAGTCCACAGGAGCGGCAGGTTTGGTCGTAGATTGCCTTGATGGTGGAGGCAACGATTTCAAAGTTGTCGTCCGTCTCGAGCGTTTCCTGCATCTCCGGCTGATCCCAGATGCCTTTGAAGA